TCAGATATATGAATCTGTATGAATGTAAAGGCCTGCATAAAGAAGAAGAAGAAAAAAAAAAGAATCTCTAACAATGACTCCGAACGGCAAAACCACTTCGAGTTCAAATTTACAACTTTTTCTGTTTCTTTAGCTCTGTTATGTCAACTAACTTTTTCTGTTTCTTTAGCTCTGTTATGTCAACTATTTTAAACCACCCGAAAATAAACTAAAATTTGCATCTGTATGTGTTTTTCCATAATGGACACTTTCCTTAGACCAGTACAAATGGCTGTCTGGTTGAAACGACACGTGTGACGGGGGTAAATCGACTTTTTTGGGGGCAAAATGAATGTACGTAGCTGAAAATAGACACCAACATCGGTAGCCTACAAGGTACTTGTTAAGCTTAAGGTTCTGTATTGATATTAGCTAGTCATCTTTAGCTAAATTACCTGCATCCAACAGCTTTACTCAACTCAGTCGGTTAGTTTGGAGGGAAAAACTGTGAAAAGTTCTCTGGGTTTTGCTGGTTTGCTGCCGTGATTCTAACACAAACCTACGTAGCTCCGCCCAGCAGCAGCAGGTCTCCTTCACAGGTGTAAACCCAGCGCGAGCGTCGAAGCACTCATGTTGCGTTTAAAGGCGGATCGGAAAAACAGGTTAGGACATGTTAACAACGGATTAAACAGTTTTAACTGTTGATAAAAGTGACAGAGGACACAAATATGGGAAGTGTGGAAGCCTCTACTGTATCAAACTGACAGGAATAACAGAGAGTTGGCCATTCTAAGGTAAAAACCCAGCACATACAGTGTTCAGGGTTTTTGTTTTGTTTTGTTTTTTTATGTGTGTTCTCGGATTTATGATTATGTGTGGCTGACAAATATTGCAATATATGGCTTACCGACATGTATTACGACTAATCTCCTACAGCAGAGGTGTCAAGCTAATTTTCATGTCAGTCCACATCAAGATCATGAATGTCCTCAACAGACTAAAACTTCCCTTTAACAAACTGCTAAAATGGTTTAATTTGCATTTTATGAATTCAAATGTATCAAAATTTCTCTTGTGTTATTTTCATCATGTCTGATAACAGAATGAAGATTTCAGGGTCCAATTGCCAAATGTGTGTGTGTGTGTGTTTTCTTTAAGGTATTAAAATGCTATCAACTGTAAAAGTAATTAATTATATGTTGGCAAAACTAGAATTTTTCTTATGTTTAAAATAACTATTGATTTTTCTTTCTACATTGTTGCATATAATTTTGTATTTTTTAAAGACTAAAGGTAGTCCTTAGTTCTTAGAGCTAGAACCAGCAAGGCTAACCTGTTATAAGCCCGTCTCATTGCTGACATTCTGCTTGACAGACCAGAGCAGAAACTGTGTTGTATTTTCAGGAGATGTTTCCTCCTACCACAACTTAGCAGCTAAGCCCTAAAAATAACAAAAGGTCATAATGCGCAGAAACAGCCCAGCGAGCTTACGGCTATTTCAGTAAATAACAGGTTAGCAATTGCAATTACCAACTAAGCTGTTTGGTCCTTATGTGTACTGTGCAGTTGCTTTAAAATGATACAAATAGCTGATTGTGCTCAGTTGTGAGGATGTGTGCCAACGATACCGTGGGCTTACACAGACTGATAAAGTTCCTGCAGACAGGTGTAGCAACCGACTTATAATTGTGCAAGAAAATGCCAGAAGGGGCAATGACGTTTATGGCACACGGCTGAGAAAATGAAACTACATCACTTAAGTGTCAGGAGTAATCAAGAATGATGAACTAATTTAAAAAGGAATTTCTCATAATGTTCTATACAATCGCCACAAATAATCCTTTATGACGCAAAAAGATCTGATCATGTATTAGTCCTAATTAAGTTTCAGTCCTAAATGGAACCACAGCTGCGGAAAACAATATTATTTTCCTTGTTGTTGGAAAACATGTAACAAAGTGAGTAATTTGCTGAATTCGTGAAGGGAATGCAAAACGTGGAAAGAGTCTACCTCGCCGTGTAGCTCCATGAGCAAAAGGCGTCAGCTGGTGGATTTGTTCTGTGGCATCTTGTCATGTTCTCAGTCTTCGATTCATTGTGAGTCATGGCATTTTGGCTATTGGAGAGGAAAGTGAGTAACTTTTTCTTAAAATTAAAACAATGGGCAAACACCTAGACCCTGGTGTTCAGATGGAAAACCCACAGCTTAACCATTCTGCAGACTTTATCAGCGCAACTCCATGCATTAGCTGGTCCTGTTTTCTAGTGATTCCATAGATTGTCTTATATTATGGAGTCAAGATTTAGAGGCAGTTTTAATATGTAAAAAAAAACAACAAAAAAACATTTTGTTTCATAAAAGTTACGTACTGCAGCTTTAACGTCCAATTAAATTGACTTCACTGTCGGTTCCCGACAGTACAAAAAGAAGATAGCACAAGTATGACTTGTTTTTGAAGAGTTGCCAGGAGAAAGCCCATTTTCTGTAAAGAATACGCCAACATGAATTAGGTCCTGAGTGACCCGTAAGACTTGCTTGAGCAGAGGACACCAACGTTCAGATCTTTACTAAAAATGCAAAGCGGCATCTCTTGGAAAAAAAAATCTGACACAGCACATCAGCTCAAACACCTTTCACTAGCTATTATGCACAGGGGTGGAGAAGAGGATCTGAACTTACCGAAGGATGTGGGCACCTTTGAGCAAAACTATTTTATCGACATTTTGATCCCAGCTGCAAATCTATGATACAAATGCAGGAAAAGAAAAGAATCGGCGTACTGCACTTGTGACCTGCTGTGGTGGATTGTTTAGAGAGCTACGCAAAAAAACTAACGTCTCCAGATCGCAATGATCTGAAACAATAAGGAGAGGAGTGAATACAAATAACTCTGAAACTCATTCATAAGATTGTTACTTTTACACACAGATTTTAATACTTATTGAAGCTCTTGGATGCTTTTTTTTTCTTGCCTTTTGCAGGTTCTAAGATTAAATAAATGTAGAACATGGAGCACACCAGTTTTTTATATTGTGATAAAAAGGAATACTTCTTTTTACAATGACTATTGCATACTTCTTTTTGTTAAAGGCCCAAATCTTTGCTCTGAAAAACTTGCCTTGCCGTTTTTCAGCCGTTTATATTCGACAATAAACAGATGTTTATCGTCGATTATTGTTCATCGTCGTCCTCCTTACCGTCTATTTCGCTTTACCTTGAAATAATCCAAGTACTTAGAGTTTAGCCTCAAAGTAAAACTCATATTCAGAAAAACATTTACACATGCATGCTGAATGGATCAATACACAATCACAATTCATCTAAAAAGCTATTATTTTACCCATCGCGGCTTAGATATGCCATGCTAGTGCACACATGTACTGTTAGACGGAGGCAAGTCAGGCAGAGAAATAAACACAAAAATAAGCAGCAAAAAAGCTGCCATGAATTTTCTTTCCTGTGCTCGGCTTGACCCCTGCTGTAGAAACAGCCCTTCAGCCCAGTGTTCCTTATAAATGCTGGAAAATCAATAGCAAAAAAATGACTGGGCTGACAGAATATGATGGTGTGAAGGATTGTTTCAGCTCCATTAGTTAAAGATGCCTTGTGGACTTCTGATAAAAAATATTTGTTCAATCCTATTTTTTTTTTTTTTGTAGTCTTTCACAAAACAAAAAGGTAGCTTCAGTTTTGATATCAGAGCCAGGCGGAGACATTGATCTCAGGTTACAAACACCTGATTAAGAGTTTACCAGTATTGCAAACTGAAATCGCTGGTATGGGGGAAAGGTGTCAAAACGCTTATACATTAGTTTTGGCATCAATTAATTGAAAGCTTATGCTTAACAATATTTTGACTTCTCCAGTTACTGTTTCAAACTTTTCTTTTTTAAATCAAGGTCTCATTTAATAAAAGAGAATGTGTTGAGTATGGACTTAAGAATGGATGAGTATACCGAGAATATTAAACACCACACTGTCAAAACCAATGCGGTTTTCCATTAGTCCCTTTAAAATTCTTACTTACTGGTTATACAATCCAGACCAGCTAACCGTTTGCACATTTATAGGAAAAACAAATACGTTGTTTGGGAACATATCTAGTCATGGCAAACACAGCCAGTGCTATTATTCTTTTCTTATTGTTAAAGTGTACCTTTTGCATCACATAAAAAAGTCTTGAACTAAAAAATCCTGACAAGAAAGTTTTTCCGAAATTCATAGCTGAGGTTGTTGCCTCTGCTGTCTGACTGACTGTCGATTAAAATCTCCCCACTTCGCCCCTTTTAAGACATCTGAACTACACCCTTCTGAATCACAGTCTGCACTGCAGCGAGGAATCAAGTATTGGTGTGCTGGGTATGTTGTTATAGCACATTCATAAACCCACATCTCTCTGAGCACGAAGCTCAGATAGAGATGAAAGAGCAAATCAAATTTCTCTCCATAATCTCATTCTTAGCAGAGTGTGTGCAGCCCTGAACTTCCATATCCATCTTTAATGTCTACTTTCTGTGAATGGCGCACCTTCCCATATTCTTTTAGATATTAGGTGTATAGAGTTCATTTCTCCTTTTTCTCTGTCACTTCACCAACCATCCACACCTTCGCATCTGGTAAACAGGCTGTGGAAGGCAAACAGAGCAGTTTGTTTTCATTTTACCAGGGTTGGAAACTTATTTCAGCAGATGCAGAGAAAATCATATTTCACCGCCCGATATCAGTCCCCCTTGATGTTGATGCATTACTACCTGAGTCAAGACTATTCCCATTCACTCTCCAAGTAATTGCATTTAGATTTCACCACCTGCAGACAAGTTGGAAAAATTCTGAATTGTAAACAATGCAGAAAAACACAATTATCCTGTTTTGAAAATGCACCGGAGGGGGTTCAGAGAAAATTATACTATCTGGGACAGTGGCATGTTTGATAGCTGGAGCGCGGCATAGATAAAGCCCACATCAGCAGTCCACTCAGTCATAATTATGCTGTTGGTCAAAACAGAAATAACTGAAATGACAACATTCATGTTAATCCATATTACTTGCTTATTTTGAGTCAACTTTTCACTGTTATATTCTCAGCTGAGTTAAAAAAAAAAAAAGCAACCTGAAACACAATAATAGTTAAGGGGATTATTTGAACTCTGGTGGAGTTCAAATAAACATCTGAAAATAATTTCAAAGACTTGGCAATCTGCGTTTTGTTCTCTTAGCAATTATAAGACGTAGCTCACACTATGATTATGAAATCTCTTGATGTTGTTTCTCTTTCTGAACATTGATGGTGTGTAGAAAGTTGTTCAGTTTCTGATAGATTGGTGCTGCCACCTGGAGAACGCTGTCACACTTTAGATTGTATGTCGCCTTCTTGTTGGAAACCCCATGCATGAAAACTTCTAATCCATATGATGAAGAAAGGTACACATCTCTGTAGGTATGCAGTGTCGTTAGCAACTAAAAGGTTGCATCTGGAGCAAAGAAAACACCAATTTGTTTTCTACCACCGTTTCCCAAAGGTGCATCCACCTTCCATCTTACTGTGGCGATGTGAAATATTCAATCTGAGATGATTTCACTGATGCGTTTTTTTTTTCTTCAAAAGCTGGTTAATCTCCCATCTCTCCTTTTAAATTTATGTGCAGAGTTGCCAGTTCTTGAATAGCAAAAGGGACGAGACTGGTATGAATGAGGTCAGCATAAAAAAAAAGAAAATTAAAGTGTGAAATTACTAATACTTAATAATTTTCACGAAACATCTAATAATATGTTTTGGTCAATAATACTTTGTCATGAATACAACTGAAAAAGCTGCACATTAAAAAAAAAAAAACATCCACCGTGGTTTGCTGAAGACACTAAAAATGTGGAACAAAATACCACTGTGTTCAGAATATTGAGTCACATCAGCAGTGTTTGAAAAATTGCTTTGGCTGCTCATGAAGTGAGAACTAGTGTAAAAGTGATTGAACCTCATAGAAGAATGAGAGTTGGTAACGTTGCTATTTGCCAAGATAACTGTATGCAACAAGAAAGTTACCCTGATTGGTGTCTTTACCTTCCAGCCATCAGAGCACCGTTCCTACCACAGCCAGCTCGGTCCTGCATCCTGTGCAAGACAACATGATTGGATGGTCTATCCTATGGTTCTGTAGGAGAGCTTGAGATGGATGGATCTCCAAACCACTTGTTTTGACAGACAACTTCTCTGCTTTTAAATGTTGTAGTTAATGAGGCTTAACCAACTGCTGTCTTTGCTGTTTGCTCTGGCTGCACACTGCCTGACCCCATCAGGAAAAAATGCCACACAAGCTGCTGTGAGTGTGCTGTAATGGAGTTGGAACAGAGCGATCTTTGCTTTATGGTACTTATGTTATATACTTATGCATTTTCAGCCCTTAAGTAGGAGTTGCTTGAATCCCAACAATAATTACATGTTACCATTTGTGCACCGTTGCCTGCTCCCCAGCACAATAACTTTTTATTACAACTTTCACAAAATGCATCCCTCTCTCTCTCTCTCGGAGTTGCATAATGTGCTACGCTTTTCTAATTTAAAACATTACCATAAAAGCACAGTCCTCTTCTAACTTTATCATTAAAGGCTCTACAGAAGCAGAGACGGGGGTGGGAGGGAAAAACGGGGGGCTGTTGAGCATCTACTGATGGACTAACTCAATTTTAGGGAACACAATGGAGCCAGAAACTGATTTCCAAAAGGCAAATTGTCATTCTCAGCAGTATGGCACCTGTCTAGCGAGTTCATCATCCTGTGCTGTGGGTGTGCTTGTGAGAGGAAGCCGAGACCAGAGGACGTGGCCGCATTACTGTGAGGTCTACGACTGGGAGATTTGAAAGTGAAAGTGTTTGAAATGCATATGAAACGCACTGAAACAAAAATCAGCGATGCTTTTAGAATCCATTCATAGAGGCACTCAATTGGTTTTGGCCAGATTGAGTGGGCGAGCAGGTGGGGATTGAGCAAATCGACCCAGACACTGATGCTGTTGCCTCGGAGACAGACTGAGAGCCCCCTGATCCCCAGGACAACATGTCGCCTTGTCTTTGTACTTCGAACCCCCCACTTCCACACCAACTAACCCATCTGCACCCCTCTAAACACACACATCCAAGCCCATCCTCCACCTCTATTATTTCTTCATCTTTTAGGCTGGGGGGTGCACCATCAGATGCGGGTTCCTCCCTTCTCCATTTAGGGCTCCAATTACAAACCTGTCTGCATAGATTAAGGAGGAAGCCCGTCTGACAGCTGGAAAACACCTCCACGTGTTAGCACATGCCAACACACGGACCGCGCAGTGCACGCCAGGAACGCAAGCAACCCCTGATCGGCTTGTGCAAACCGACATCCCCCTCGTGCTCTTCACTTTGCTGCATCGCTCTGCAGCATTAACACCTACCAGATCTTCTCGGTGACACATCCGTACCCACACTGTCACCTCGGCAAACCTGCACACATAACCCCGCCCACCCCCTTAGGAACAAAGCAGGGCTTTGCCACCTGTCACATTCACAAAGAAACAACAAGCTTTAATGAGACGGAGAACTCCTAATTGGAGGCGCTATCTTCTTTAATTGTTGTAGAAACAATTCTAGGGGTTAAAACAGATGGCCTCTGTAGTTCAGATGCACAATCACAGCTGTCTGCACATCTCTCCAGCTTTGTTCAGTTTGAAGTATGTTGCTGTGTTCGGTGACGGCCTGCAATACCAATTCTCTCTAGCTCCTATAGGCGTACAATGTTTTCTTTCACAAGTTCACACTGGCGAATAGTGGTTCTCCGTCCTTATTGTGAGGTAGGGGGAGGGTGATGCGGTAAGGCTAATTGAAATTTTTTCGAGGGAGTTCCTCAAACAAAGCAGAATGAGCTGTGCTTCCAAAAGCAGAAAAAAACTGGGAGGGGAAAAAAAGTCTGTTTTAAATATATGTTTTTGTATCTGTTTTCACATATTTTAATGTGTTTTCAGATTGGTACCCGAGTCTGTTTTCTTTAATCATCATAAAACACAACATTTTTCAATAAAAAATAATGTAGAATCAATCATGATGTAGAATACAGATATTTGCCTTGCCATTTTGATACATGCATCCCGGTAATGTCTGTGTTTAGGTAAAATGAAAATGCGACAATTCATGGCAAAATGGCTTGTTGAAATGATGACCTGATTTTGAGAAAAATTCAAAGCTTCATCTCATGACTTCCAAAGTGAAGAAATTAGAAACACATAGATGCAGGGCTAGCACAGTTAGATTCAGACTATTTGTTCTCTCTTTCTAAAACTTGTATTCAACTAATCACTAACTCACTTGACTATAATACAATTGCCTACTTTACCCATTCCTTGAAAAAGTAGTTTATTCTTTTATTTCTCTATTCCAAGTCACAACTGCATACAGTGCAAAAGTATTCACACCTTTCAAATGTTTTTAGAATGTGAAATGTAAGAGGTAAGACGCATAGTTTTCAAATCTGAAAAGGCTGGCATTTTCTTTATGCATTTATTTAGAGCCGGTTCTCATGCTGCTTCACTTGTTTTCCCCCCTAAATAAAACTAATAGCTTTTTAGAAGTTACGTAATTGGTAAACAGAGTATCTCATATGAAATTTAAACTGAGTATCCTACAAACCCAGCTGTTCTGTGAAGGTCTCGGAGAACGTTTATGAACAAACAGCACCATAAAGACCAAGGTTACCAGTCGCAATACGACTGGCAAGGAGAGCATTAATTAGAGAATATTAATGGTTTTTCTTCAGCTCAGAGCTGGTTTTGAGTTGATGGGATGATTAAGGTAAATACAATCCTTAAAGGAAAGCGAAAACACTCTGGGTTTACTTTTCCACAGGACAATAGCAAAACATACACAGCCGGACCCACAATGGTTTAAATCAATACATTTTCATGTTAGAATGACTTAGTCGTTTACCAGACCTAAAGCAAATTGAAAAATCGCTGATCACTGATCCTTTTCATCCAATTTGACTGAGCTTGAGCTATTTTGCATTGACGAATGAGGGGAAAAAAAAAGAAACAAATGACTTGCAGTTGAAATTGCAACAATAGGTAGGTCTGCAAATTGACTCAAGGGGAGTGAATGGAAAAAAACATGCCACCAAAGGTATTCAATGTTACTTTTATGTCCTATTTTCTGTTGGTCTAGCACATAAATTCTCATTAAAACACATAGTTTTTAGCTCAATTGTTACATGTGACACCTGTGAAAAAAATGTTAAAATGAACGAGTGCTTTACTAGCCCACTGAATTAAATAGTATACTAAATAGTGCAGTATGGACATTTATGGTAAAATGTTGTGAACTTTTACAACAGCGCTTCGGTGCAGTAATGCTTGGGCTTTTGCATGGTCATAAAAAGAATGAAATAGCTTTATATTTTAACTCCAAAAATGTATTCACCCCTGCCATGAAGTGAGTTATTGCTATATTTACTGCTGCAACAACAATAGCCTCAGGAGTTTGTAGAAAGTAAAATCTTCTTCTGCGAGCTACAGATACTTGCTTACAACGGCGTATAGGGCCAGATTAAAAGGTCTTTTCTGTTTGTGTTTTGCTTGTGTTTTAAATACGATTAAAGTTGTACAAAAATAAAATCATAAATGCGTGAGAACCCTACACTGTGCTAACATGAGGAGTACTACTGGTACTGCTTTAACAAATAATGAATAAAAGAATCAAATTATCTGTCATACTTGCTTTTTGCTAACCTCTGGCGCCGTTTATCTTTTCACTGCCACCTCTATAGTGGTTGACATATTTCAAAACATCCGCGCTTTGTATCTACACCAGCGTCGGTGTAGGCTACTTCTTCTACTGGCTTGAACAGGCAGCCTGTTGTTTAATTTGACCACTACTGCCACCTAGTGACCGGACGCTTATTTATCAGTCAAGCATGGTTAAAGACCTGCTTCTCGAACCTTCTCCCTCACTATTTGAGAAATACTGCCCAAAGCTGTGCAGCATATTATTTGGCCTTAAAAGAACAGATGCATTTATATCGTCATTAAACCACACACCGGTGACTATATTTATTAAGTGACATCTGATGGCCCTGGATTGAAGAGACTACGAGACATCCTGCTTTCAGCTCATAATTTTGTGTTGCTTCGTCACATAAAATTCCAAATATAGTACATGAAAGTTCTTGGTTGCAACAAATTTTGGAAACATTCAAAATGACTGTCGCCACTCATTTCCACAAGTTCCGGTCCTGAGAAGGAAGGGAGGCAGTGGGAGATTAAGCTGATGAGGGTTTGTGTTGTTAGTGTAGACATTCTCACCCACTGGAAAACATACAATAAGAATTGGCTCTCCTCCAAGACTTGGCAGCTTTCGCCTGGGGGTAGAGAACACAGACAAGTGTTTGACTTCAGAGGAAGGAAAACAAGCACCAGTCGTTTCTCTGTAGCTGGTGTGTAATTGCAAAATGCACCAGCACCTTCAAGAAACAACAGAATGTCACAGCCTTTTCCCTCCACCCAATTTCTCTCCCATTGTTCTGTTCTCCCTCTACAACCAGAACCCGTACATTCAACAGTGATTTCTTCAGCCGCAAAATCCCCTGCTATTCCTCAGGACAAATCCACATGACCCAACCATAAAATGACACGCTCAAGCATCTCATCACACCTCAGTCTGCTGTGAGACCTGCCGGCGCTTCACTCATTACTATGGGCTCAGATATCAGAGGCCAGGGGTGTAGTTATGGTTGTGGGATTACGGGCTCGTAAGGGGTGGGGGGAATCGAAGCTTGTCCTTTGGGCCTTAAACCACATCACGAGCAAGCAGGGATTCTGACTGCTGGTGCATGAAGGAGGAAAAGGCACGTTTCATGAACCATGACCTGTCACTGCACTATACACAGCCTTCAGGAACCGTACCGCTGGTAATTGTAAATCCTGCCTGCAGCTATATGTAGCAGCAAAACACCTGTCTTATAGTCCACTGACAGGCATCAGCTAGTCTGGTCTTGGTAAACAAGTCTCTAGAGAGTGTTTGATTTCTGATTTTTATTTTTGTGTTCTTTATCTCCTAACTAGCAAAGCAAAGTGTGTCATGCTGTATTCCTGGCTTTGTTTCACCTATCAGTCTGTCTCCGTCTATGGTGCGAAGCTGCAGCGGTATGTTGGTCCACTTCTGAATTTGCAGCATCCAGTTATATTGGCAGAAAATACAACATATCATGACAACATTGACAAGAGGTTGGGCTTCCATCCAGTTACGAACTATACATGTGGTCTGCATGGAGCAAACAACACCTTCTGAAGGTCAACTGATTGTCAAAACCAGTTCAGTATGTGAAAGCATGTTGTGTACACATCCAAATATGTGAATGAGGAAAAACACATAATACTAAGTTTTTACTAAAGCTTTTTTTTTTTTTATCTCAGCTATGGTGTGTTTGTTGTGATGTCATCTGCCTTTATTTATTGATGCTTATGAGTGTTTGGATGTAGCTCAGACATTCTGCTGCTTCATTTCTGTTCAGTCTATAAATTTGTTTTAGGATTTGAAAAATCCTTTTTTGTTTTTGAGCCATCTTTGCATGCACACATGGCACACATTTTAGAACATTGTGTTTTGGAAAATGTCTATTATATATTGTATTTTTAGACCACTGGAGGCAGGCGCCAGCTTCCCCCAGCCCTCCACACCCCCACCTCCGTGCTCCTGAAAAGATAAGGGGATATAGAAAACTGATAATTGGATGTTTTAAAACATAGTTTTAAAACATAGTTTTATTTTACTTTTGTTGTTTTTCTGTTTTTTAAACCGTCATCTGCTTTGTCAGTGTGACGGTCCCTAAAATGTGCAAATTTTCAAAGGCATTACGAATTTGTTGCTTTTTGCAAATCACCATATGCTCCGTCTTGTATAGCTTACAGTGTCTTGGGCCTTATTTCCAGCTTCTTATTTTATTTTTTTCTTTTAATGAATTGTTGGGTAAAATCTTTGAAATGTCTGGGTGTTAGGTGAAATAAGATTTTCTTGTTTCAATTTGCTACTGTACTTTGTTTCTCTTGTGATTATCATTTTGAGGTGAGAGCATGAGCCCACTTACTAACCAACCAACACTAAGATTACTGTAAAATTAAGACAGCAGAACAAAGTTCTGTTTTTGTTTTTTTTTTCTTAAATAACGCAATAAGAGAGCTTAATTTAAACGGCAGCAGAAAATTTCTACATGGAAATAAACGAGGAACTGCAGCATCCAAACTCAATATCCTGGTAATTACTGCAGTTTTTGACAGATGTGCCTCGTGTTTCATCCCATTTCCTGTCTTGCTGAAGTTAGCAAGCCTCAAAGAACACCAAATGTTGTCTTCCTGAATGATTTGCAACCACTGAGGGGCTTCACGATAGATTAATTCCTGACAACTTATGAAGAATACATCTACAGACTCATTAAGGTTCTTAAATTATGGACTACAGATTTGTTCACTTTTATTTTGTTCTAAACATTCAAACATCTCAATAAGATTTTAAATCATATTTAAGTTACCGGCAGCATACACTGCTTGAAAAACCCCACTGATTTAGTAAGCTCCATTTATCCAGAACCTTCCCAGAAAGAATGTCAGTTTGACATCTGCACCAGCCTCAAAAATGTCCCTCTTAGGAGACTGTAGTCTGAACTTTAAACACCAAAATCTTCAAGGAACCTGCCACATTGACCTCCCGTGGTGCATGCACCACAGCATTTTATCTTCCAAGCACCTTCTGATTTAATGATTCTTATATAGGAAAAAGTTGTAACTTCAAGCAGCAGATGTAGGAATTCTTTTAAATAGCTGTAATAGCACACCTAATTGTCTGAGATACTGAATCTTTTACCTGGAAGCCATAATCACTAATCATCACTTTCTGAGATGACTAGCAAGAAATATTGCACTTTTAAATCATATTCTAATTTTTTGAAGTGTACTAGTGAATGGCCTGTGCTTGTGTTGTGCCTTATCTTGTCCAGAGTGGCCCAACGACCTTTATACTACAATGTAGCCATTGATGGTAGTGAGCTACATTGTATCCACAGCTAACCTGGGGCAGACTACCAAGCATCATGCCACAAGCAGGAAAGGTCTTTCACCCAAGGACACAGCTCCAAGAAAATCAGGAAAAAAAGGTTTTTGAAAAGAACAAGTCAGGGGATGGAAACAAAAAAGAATCTCTAAGGCACTGAACATCCTCTGGAGTTCAGTTCTTCCATTTCATCATCAAGAAATGGAAGAAATGTGACACGTGTGTAAATCTGCCTGGATCATGTTGTCCTCACAAACTGAGTGAGTGTGCAAGAAGGAGACCAGTGAGCGAGGCCACCAGGATGCTTCTGACTTCTAGAAGGAGTTTGAAACTTCAGCAGCTGAGATGGGAGAGACTCTGCATGCAGCACCTGTTGTCTTTATGGGAGAGTGGGAATGAAAGACTTGCCTAGAGTTTGCCAAAAGGGACTTGGGAAACTCCATGGTCAAGTGGAAGAAAGATATTTTGGTCTGGTGAGGCCAATGGAGCTTTTTGGCCACTAGACAAGATACTATGTTTGTTGAACACCAACAAACACGCCACCATCCCCACTGTGACACATGGCGGTGTCATGTTGTGGGGAGGCTTTTCTGAAAAAGAAGATGAGACAAATTGATCAAAAATAAAATCCTAGATGGAAATTTGTTTCCATCTGCAAGAGAAGTACGGCTTCAGGGAGCATTTATGTTCCAGTAAAACACTGAACCAAAAACGTCCAGCTAAAGCTATACAGAAATGGTTTGGAGACAACAAGGCGGATGTTTTGGAGTGGCCAAGTCAAAGTTCAGACTGGAATTTGACAGACAATTTGTGGTAGGGCTTAATGAGGGCTGTTCACAGCTCATCTCCATGCAACCTGACAGAGCTGGAACGGATTTTCAAGAAAATCTGCAGGGTCCAGGTGTGCAAACCCAACTGGGACCTGCCTACACAGACGCCATACTGTGACTGCAGCCAAAGGCCTGTCTATTAAATAATGGTTTGAAGGGGATGAATATTTATACAATCACTTCTTTTATACCAAATATCTCAATTCAGTTGCCATTATTTTGTAAAAAATCAGTTTTAACTTTGAGATTAAAGGGCTATTTTTTTGAGAAAAAAGTTTTTGACAAAAAAAAAAAAAACTTTTTTATATCGTAAAATGTAAAACATCCAAGGGGGTGAATACTTTTTATAGGCACTGGACATTGAGTTTCTGAATTTGCTGATACATATATTGAAGTTTCCCAAGTAAAGGGTACAATGTTGTCTTCCGGTTTAGGTTTCAAGCTAACCACCTTAAGACCACTTTGTTTGTCTGGTTCTATCTAGTCTCGTACGTGACACAAAAAGAGCACATATGTGTTCTCAGAACAAATTACCCACTTTCAGCCCACCTTGGGATCATTAGAGACCCACATGGGCACCATTTTATGAGTCAGAACAACAGCTCATCACTCACTCACAAGAGACCCTCGTGGGACTGTTTGCCAGGTGGGCATCGCACACGGCTTCGGTTCAGGACATTATTTTTGTCATGCGGACTAATGAGCACCTGGTAAGTTAATTGTTGAGGCAGCACGTCTGATTAACAGCTTTAAATATACTTAAAGGTGTTTACAAACCAGCCAAACAACTAAAGTGGTTTCCACCGAATGAATTGCTGAAGCGCATTCTTAAGCCCGAAATATTTCCCACCTGGACGTCATGTGGGTGTCCTTCTTGCATCGACCTAATCGCTGTTTGGGAGCAAGCATTTCCTCTAATAGATCACAAAGTCAAAGTGACATTGGGTGCAGATACGGTAAGAATGTGATTGGGTGCGTGTGTGTGCGTGTCTCAGAGGGGGTTCCCGAATAAGGGGGTTGGGCAGAGTCCAAACCTGACAATACAATCACCCTTCAGTACTCCCCTATGGGCAGTCTTCAAGGAGCCTGGGTTTCATCAGGTTTTGTATTTCAGACCTATTGATTATCCGCACTGAGGGGACTCTGTGACCAAGCCTCAGCAGGACTTCTCCATCAGTAATGAATAGGCTAACCTCTTCACAAATACACACACATAGTCACACACACTTGCTCTTCTGTGTTATTGGTTCCCAGGCTATGAAACAGAGACGTGGGGATATGGTCCCTGGGAAAAGCTGTAAAATCTTGAGCTGACATTATTTTTGATTATTTTTGTGCCGTATATGCAGTCACCTGTGAAATGGCAAAAAACCTCAACGTGTGCAACCTTTCCCTTTTGTTAATCTTTTCGTCATTTGAAGCTGACTGGTTCAACTTCACTGGCCAGGGTCCTCTCTCTTCTGATTGTTTATCTCGGTGACCTTTAATCAATAGTGATCATGGCAGGGAGAACTGTAATGACACCTGACTAACCAACGAGAGTTTAAAAAAAAAAAATAAATAAATAATACAGTGTGTTATCTATCGAGATCTTAATGAATATGCGTTGACTTTTCTTTCCCCTTTCTGTGATGTCAGTAATAGACATAAATGTTTTACTTATGACCTCAAGGAGAACGTGAAGACGGATCGAGCGCTCCATCTAGTGGCCGTGGGAGACATGACGCTCCATGATGTCGCCGTCGTAAAAACATCACGTGGACACAACGCTTGACGGCAATTTGTGAGTATGGCTTCTCAGTTGATCTGTAGCGAAACGCAAAGCAGGTGAATAAAATTGGTATTCATTCAGAAATAATTACTGTGCTCCTTCAGGTACTAAATACCCCCCAAATGTTGCCCTTTTAGGGTGAGTTCAGTGTTAAACAGAGACGTAAAGCAGTTTGGGAAAAAGTTCATGTTCGACTGTAATGAAGAAACCTGCTGGAACTCAGACCAGGTAAAAAACAACAAAAAATGACAGCTTTGTTCCAAGTCCATGTTATTTATTTATTTTTAGTTTACAGTAAACAGTGCTGCAACGTGAAGAAATAAAGCTGATTTTGACATCTAGTCCGGTGGAGATGACTTGAGTTAGAAACCAAGCCTCAGAATGAGAAAGAAGGAGGATTTAAGTGACTTTGTACCTCTTGTTGTTTTGTGTTATTTATTGAGGTTTTGACTAACAACATCCTCTCGGGTTTCCAGAGAATATTCCAAAAGAAGTGAAACAATAAAAATAAAAAACCCAGGTGTTAACTGTGTTAACAAAGACTCCTGGCATATGTCAGAGTAACCTTCAGATGGTTTGATCAGAATTTGGTGTACACATTAAGAAAAAGGTTTGGAGGTGGCATAATGGTGTGGGGACACTTTTCTTTGCATTCTTTAATCCCCGTAGCATACCGACTTTGACCCTAAAATCTGGTTCCTCTGTTTTTGTTCATCTGGTTTCTCAAATTTCTTCTTCTGTTGTGCAAAAAGTGAGTGTAGCAGCCAAAGATGGTTAGTTCAACTCAGATGCTGCTTAACTTAAAGTCCTCATACTTACTATAATTTGGGATTCCCCCCAACATTTCTTCTTCTTGAAAGTCAGACTTGACTAGAAGAGATTCAAGGCTGACACCATGTTGGCCTAATATTGCTAAGGATGCTTTTTATAAATAAGCGAGACATTAAATGATGCCGTTTGCCTTACAGTTGGCTTTTATCGAGTTAAGAATTCAAAATAAGTGTATGCACCGAGCACAGTATTACAAAATATTCATTAGCATTAGCATTCTGTTGGGCATTTAGGATAATAATTGACCAAGACTTAAGATTTTTTTTTTTTTTTTGCAGATATGTTGCTCTTGCTTTCTAAAGGTGCAACTGCAGTGCAACATATTAATAAATCCTAAATCTTTTAACGTCAACAACAATGATTGTCAGCAAAAATAATTATTTCAGCTGAACATGCTGCATGTAAATCTTCTTGTATTTAATCAGAACTAAAGATATCAGAATTTCTTTTATTTGAGTTTGGTTGAATACGTATTTACTCGAAACGATTATAAACGATGAGGGTTTTGTTCCAATCTGCAGCATATTTTCTAGACTTCCAGGAGTTCATGCATTTTTTTAATGACATATTGTACCGTCCACGTCACACTGTGGCTCAATCGCTGTCTTCTCTTTGTCAGGGGGACCGTCAGTGGGTGCTGCTGGAGTTTCCCCAATCTGTAAAAGTCTCCGAGGTAAAACTCCAATTCCAGGGAGGCTTCTCGGCTAAAGCATGCAGATTAGAAGGTAAACGCTGCGGTTTCTTGAAAGAAGTAATTGCCATTCTAACTTTAGAGTTTCCTGTAGCGAGCGTGACAAGATGATGCACACTATTTTTGTGTCTGTGCTTTCTGCAGGTTGCCGCAAAGACGGAGACTTCACAGAGCTGAGCCAGTTTTACCCAGAGGACAATAACTGTCTTCAGATATCCTCACTTAAACATTTACATTAGGACTGCAGTCAGGCATGTCGCATGTTCACAAGACACGTCTGCAGGTGCTTCTCATTAAATTAAACATTAGGGGAAAACTTAATATTGTCACTCAAGTCATTTTTTGCTGAAAGTGATATATATATATATATATTTTTTTTGCCTAATTCATATTTTGGCAGTTAAAAGGGAGTGATGATTTTTTTTTATTCCTGCCAAAATTACTTTTGGAAAAAAATCACTTGGAGCATAATTTTGGGAAGGTGACAATACATTGTTAATATTTTACTTCAAAAAGTGAAACTTGTATGTTTATAATTGTTCCCTGCTACTTGTCTAAAAAAAAAAAAAAATGTAGACTCATTAATATTTGTGTGATGAATTTATATAGTTGGATTTTCACTTTTGCAGCTGAAAAAAAAAATGCATCGAGAAGCACCTGTACATTAAAATAACTCGATGAAATGAGTATATTAACGGCTTAAAGCCATTTTGAGTGCCTTTGTTTTTTTTTTAACAATCAGAACAAAAACATTTAATTACCTAATATTTTTTCTTGACGTCCAGCGGTTAATATAAACCAGAAAAATGAAACCATTTTACGAATTTGCTCTTCTTAAAGAAACGTAACTTCAAAAGAACAACAGCACGCTTCCTGTTGCTGTTCTGTTCGGCTCATAATAGCTATTGGACAATATTTTTCTGACCATGTTGTTCATTATCGCCACCCCCCTATTTCGTTCTTAACTCCACACCCACAGCTTTCCCATACAGGAGGCCCCCACCGTGGACAAAGTAAAAATACTGTTTGAGAACAGCACCGACTTTTTTGGGAGAATCATTGTTTATTCCTTGGACATTTTGGGGGAAAAAACCTCATGAGCATTTTTTTTTTTTTTTAATGCTCTCATGAGAGAGGAAATGACCCGTGACCAAAGTGCAGGGTGGTGTGGTGACACTTGGAAAACATGTCATCTGGTAGTGCCACCTTGTGAACTGATGCAAACGTGGCCTTTTTTGGTATTGCTGCGTTCAGACGTCTGTGTGGAAGTTTCACTTCACGTCAGTAAAACAAGAAAATGCACACGTTGGACACTTTGACGGCCATAGTGACGTTAAAAAAGTTTGCTGCGTTTAGAAACGTATATTGTGCCTTTTGAATTACACGACCGCTTTATCGAAAAATAGCATTTTATTAAAGCTTAATTCCCCCCCCCAATTCCATTCAGAACAATTCTACAGAACAATTGACATTTTATTCATTCTTTCAAAATAGTTTTTACGTAAATTGTCATTAAAAAACAAAAAGAAAAAATCAGTTTTTTTTTTTTTTTTAAACTGTAAGTGCATAAATAAATCCATTTATTTACATTTCTGTCTTCTGTTGTGGTTTGTCGACGTGACGGATGTTTTTACCGTCTCTTAATGTTGCACGGATGTGAGCGAAGCGTCTTCTGCCTAATGTTTCTGCGGGTTTTTTTGACGTCATGTTGGCTTTTTGACATCATGTTGGGTTTTTGACGTCATGTTGGCTTTTTGACATCATGTTGGGTTTTTGACGTCATGTTGGCTTGTAGAGTTTCAAGATGTGGTCCTCCAACACTTTCTGAACTAGAGGGGGAAAATGTAAAAGAAATTTTTTTTACAGATCATTTATGACAACACCCTGTAAAAATGGTTTAAATCGATAATTGTAATTACTGCCTTGTAAAAGTATTCATATTCTATTAACTTTTACACATTTTGGTTAATTACAACTATAATCTTTTAATTTCTTTATTTGGGACTTCATGCAAAAAAAAAGAGAAAAAGTAGTGATGGATTTGTGGTGGTCTTTTTTTTTTTTTTAACCAAAAATCTGAAATTGTGGTTGTAATATTTATTTATAATTAGACATCCCTGAATAAAATTTTGTGCAACAGATAACCAACCAGAAGTGGGTAAATAGTTTAAGTGTATTTTAATCTCAGTGTAACTACAGCTGCACTTTGAAGGCCTTCGATTTTATTTAATTTGTTTTTAAAGAACATTTGAAGGCCATGAATAAATTTGTTGGGTGGTTTGAAATCGGGTTACGTCAAACAACAAGCCACTAAAAGCTAAGGACAGAACAATCTGATTAAAAATTTTAACTTAACTTGTATTCAAAATGTGTGGGGGTTTTTTTCTATCACATAAAATCCTAATAAAATACATTGAAGTATGTAGTTTTAACATGACAAAATGAGAGCAAATGTAACGCCTTAGAGCAAACTAATACATACGTTTTTTGTGCCCAAGTGCAACAGCTAAGGCCATCGGACTGTAGCCAGAGTCTGACTCTATGGTCATATCTGCTCCTTTGGCTGCAAGAGATTACCATTGTTAGAATAAACCTGCTTTAACCAAGTGTTATTATTTTATATATTCTTTTTTCTTTTTGTATAAAAAACGACATGCAATGTACCAAGCAGAGCTTCTACACATTTGATGTGGTTCCCTCGTACAGCATAAAGAAGAGGAGTTCCACCATTCTGAGAACAACAACAAAAAAAACAATTAAAAAACAGTGGTTATATTGTAACATATAACTTGTTCTCCTGATGTATCTTGAGCATGTGTGAAGGAAATGTCTAAAGTCCCAGCTGTACCCAGTCGTAGGTGTTAATGTCCACTCCATGTCTGAGGAGAGACTCGACGATGTCCACGTAGCCGCCAGAGCTGGCCAGAGTCAGGGCGCTCTCTCGCTCCCTTGCGATTGCATTGGGATCCGCACCCTTTAAAATATATTTCTATGAAATTTTTATTTTATTGAAAATGACACTAGGAGTTTCTATGTAACGCGTGTCTTTTGTTTTTCCTAACCTTTTCCAAGAGAAAGTCCACCATTGCTTTTTCGCCAAACGCAGCCGCCCACATGAGGGGTGTAAAACCCCGATCATCCTGCGTGGTGAGCACTGAACTGTCTGCAAGGTAAAAGCACGAAGTGCTCGGAAATGTAGAATCGTGTACTTTTCAAAACAACAGGACGGGATTTTCTTACCTTTACTTACATGTGCAGCCACTTGTAAAACGTCACCCTGAGCTGCCAGCTGATGTATGGACAGAGCTGTTAAAAAAATAACTGATACAAATAATCCAGAAACGATGAAACGCCTACAGTTTTGACCAGAGGGTTGCACGCATTTGTGGGGGTAATAAAAGTCATAACCAATTTGGGCTTTTAACAATTGACGACTTTTTATCTTTTTTTTTTGTTTGTTTGTTTGTTTTTTTCATCTGGATGGACTGATACGACAAACAACTTCAGAGATCTTGTAAAACACTGGGCATTTGAATATGTTGCAGATTTTGTCTAATACATAAAATCATCATGACCAATATTTGGATAAATGTTTCTTAGCCATAAATAACCTTACGGAATACTTTTCGTAGCTTTCAACCAGCCTCTGGCTGAATACATGACCACTTTTTTTGGGGTCAACCAACCAAATTTAAATGAACTTTTAAATTCAAGCACAATTTTAAGCATTGTCCATGAATTTATCAATATGACTGAGGATGGCACTGAAATACGTAATGGCGCAATTGTTAAGGTGTTGAAGGATTTGAGCTGCCAGCTGTCCATCATGGTGGACAGCTGGCACTCTGATCTTTGAGAACCACATTTTGACAAGTCCAAACCAAATGTACTTCTTGTCAATGTGGCCAAACAGCTCAAATAGTTCCCCATAGATGTGCACCCTTACAGTTCACGGCACTGTTAACTATTGTCACTGTGGGCAGTGGCACTGGTGCTCCAACATATTCCAGGTTATATTAAGCTTATCTAAAACATACAATCAATTACAGGTGTTCTACTCAATTCTTGTTTTCTATTTTTCTTTCTTTCTTTTAAACACTGCAATTGTGTGCATGGCTAGGACGCACCATCAAAAGTCCCAAATTAATGTGGACTTTTGTGCCTGCAAATAGTCTCCTGATTTTTGAAACTGCAAGTTTCTAAGTGCGTTTACTTACAGTCTAATGTTGCTGGACGTACTGTTACTTCATTCCCACGCTGCTTGTTGGTCAAAGTAGTGGAGTGTTTAAAGATGTCATCCTCCTCCACATCCATCTCTAGAGTACCAATCAGAGAAAACACATCCATGTTAGTGGTGATATCTTATTTACAGTCCAGCCAATCTAAGACTATCTTAATCAGATAACCTTAGGTGACTCTGGTAGTGTAAGGTGTCAAGAATGTGAGCACATTTGGAAGATATAATACCGTTTGAATTTCCACGTGTTGAACTGGAAGAATGTTCAGCAGCATTAGATTGCTGAATGTGATGGCCATTTGTAACCTCTTCATCATCTCTGCTCTCCATCATAACTACATAAAAACAATTTGATACTAGATTGTGTGTCTGCACAAACAAGTGAGAGTTAACAAACATAGTTTATCAAATCTACGGGGAAAATTCCTTACCTCATCCAGCCACATTCGCAGACCCACTTCCTTTTGGGAAAACAGAAAGTGTAAAATTTCCGCTCGAACACCGGATCGTTTCGGTTTCCGAACAGTTTAGAAAGTACACTTCTCACGTTGTTCAGTTTTTTTGCTTGTTAGGAACAATGTTAAGGGAACAGACAAGATGAAATATCGTTTGAATCAGCAGTCCGCTTCGGGTATCAAAGCATCTCTGACTAAATTCGCGAAGGAAAAAACGTTTGTTATAGAGTCAGTGTTTCTGTCCGGAATCTCGTCGTTGTTGCACAGATGGACAATAATACGGAAGCAGGAATCAGCTGACGCCGTTCTTCGCGCTGTTGGCTTCTGAGAGGAGAAACAAGGTTTTGTAATGGATGACCAAGAGATGCAACTGAAAGTTAGGAGAGGTAAACAGCAGCAAAACAAATCCGTAGATGACTTTCTACTGAAACCATACATTAACGCTGCAGCGCTAAGAAATGGCTGCTTGAGCTAGCGGCCAAGCTAAGTCTTACATATAATACCGTTAAGTGTTCGTTTCGCTGTTGTTATGTTTGATGGCACGAATTACACATTTAATGCTGTGTTCTGGTCTGTTTGACTCCACAGTGAGTGACAAATTCACGGAGAGTATGTATGTCCTAGCTAACGAGCCATCAGTGGCTCTGTACAGGCTGCAGGAGCACGTCAGGAGGTCCCTGCCTGAGCTGGTGCAGCACAAGGTATTCCTCCTTCAGCTCGATGTTACACCTTCCAGCTATCTGCAGCATTAAAAAAATAAAAAAAATAAAAAAAAATCATCTTCCAGCAACACATTGTAATTTCAGTGAACAATCATCTTTAGACTATTCAGTTATGAGTCTGAAACTTAATTACAAACAAATATTGGCTTCTGATCTTCCTAACGCATTAAATGTTGTGCTTTTTAGCTATGAATGCACTGGATAGTTTAACTAAACCTTATTTAATTTATTGCTCCAGTGTAAGACGCTGGCCTCCCCTAGTTGTTCATATTGCTGTTAGAATAATTGAACATATGTATTATAGTTTTGTTATTGCTTACCTTTTGTATTTAGATTTTAAGACATGTTTAAGACCCAGGCTGACACTCCAACTTTCTTCTTAACTATGGGAATTGTTGAACAGAACAATTGCGGAGGGTGGGAGTAGTTGTGATGTAAAAACAAGCTTGGCTTACCACATGCATTACGCATACGGAGCTGTGTTACCAGCCAGCAGCAGATGATGAATCAAACAGATGTTTGATTGGTGTTTTGGAGAAGCTTGTTTTTATTTGAATTATGTCATCCTTGTGTTTATTGCTGCACTTTAGCAACAAGGATGTGGGAATTTCTTTTTTTTTCAAAACCAATATATATATAAAGTAGTTTAGATGCCTCTAAATGATGTATTTTAGGAAATTCTGATCAAATTTATCAAAGTTCCACTTAATAAACTGGTCATCTTTTCCCCATTGCCTCAACCTAATATTCAGTTGTCTAAAATAACTTGAGCTCAAAATAAAGTGAATCACAGCTAATTTCAAGGAACACACAAACAAAAACAAATATCAATTTTTTTCACAAAAACTCATTTTTTTTCTGTTGAAATACATTTTTCTGAGAAGCATGCTACGTGATGTCTTTTAATAAAGTTGCGCTGTTAACTCTATATTTGAATAAACTCTATGTCAACATTTGTTTCTTTCTTTGTTCCTTTTTTTCCACAGACAGACATGCAGAGCTGGGAGGAACAGAGTCAGGGAGCCATCTACACGGTAGAGTATGCATGCAGGTGAGAAGTTTCGGAATGTTTCAATTAAGCAGAATCCCATCCGACGTTTTTCCTCAAAGTTAATTCTTGTATTTCTGTCTGTGTTTTGCAGTGCCGTGAAAAGTATGACAAACAGCAGTGTGTATTTCAAGAACATTGACACCCTTCTTCGACAAGCCATCACCATGAAGGAGCAGATCAGTAACTATAACGGACGCAGGTACAAACATTTTGTAAATATGAGTATAAATTCAACCCGTAGAAAGTTTATGTCCCCATCTATAAGCCTTAAACAAAAAGTAGACAGTATTCCATTTGCTGTGTCAAATCTGAACAAGACATTTTAAACGAGACACTAGAAACATGGAAGCATTACTCATAGTCCCTGATGTCTCTAAAACACAGTGGTGGTAGGGTAAGTAAAAAAAAAAATATCTGATGGACAGCTGAACCTTGAGCCTTATTAGGAAAACATAAAACACATTGATCCAGAACACAGTACAAAAGGACACCTGAAGAAAACCAAAAGAATGAAATTGTTGTTTTGATCTAGTCAAAGTTCAGACCAGCACTTGAATGAAATGCTGTGGTGTTATCTTAAGAGCTGTGTTTAACCCGTTTAGTGTTTATCCCCTCCCTAAATTTCACAAGGGCACAGCTGTCTATGACACGTTCTTCAAAATACACGTTGTCTTGTTTCAGTTGAGTTTACTCCATTTTAAAATAAAAAAATTCATGTACAAATGAAAGGTCATTTGTCTGCCAACTGTCTGTTAGGAAGGATATTGTCAGGTTGCCATTATTTATTACTTTGTGTTTTGTAAAGTTCACGTGTTCTTCATCACTTCAAACTTTTGAACTCAGCTTGTATGTCTCTGAACATGGCTTTCACACGGTTCTTTCCACAGACCATAAATGGTGAATATCTGTGTTTACATGCAGTGCAATATTTCAGACTGTTGACCTTAGTCTCCAGATTCAGTAATATAATTTTTAACCAGAATTGACAGTCAGAACTGAGTAGGTCTTGCCCACATCACCTCTACCCTTACAATTAATAAATTGCACCAGCATTCTTGAATTTATCAAGGAACATTAGGATTTTTTTTATTCAAATTATATTGTGACCAAAGCAAGTTACCATTTTTTTTAAAGTGAGCAAGAACTGGGTTTTCAAAAATAAAATAAAAAGTTAAAAAAAAAAAATCTAAATAATGCCAAAAATTACTCCTAATGTGTGACTAAAATTAAGCAGCAGGTTTGTACAATAAAAGCAATCATGTTAAAATATATATATATTTTCAACCCATTATTATTTGATTGAAATTTTAGCAAATATTGAAAAAAAAATCATGTAAACAGTAAAAACTGAAAGCAAGATTTCATAACATGTTCTGTATTTTAAAAATTGCAATTTCTGGATCGACTATTAGAGAGCGATCACCGTAGTTAGATATGAGATCTCAGAGGTCTTCAAAAACAAGAGTACAGCATCTTATGTATTTATTTAATGAATGAAGCAAGATACATTTTTGCTTGCCACCTCCTGTTGACACATTTTTTTCCGAGGAATGGAAAAGTGGAATGTTGTACTTTTTCACACGACTCTTTGGTGTATGTTGAGATTTTTTTTTTTCTCTCTCTGTAAAACGTGAATTTCTCTGAGCTGAAATGGCCGTAAAAAGCCACTGAAACGTTTGGGTCAAAGTTTGAATCCCATGTAAGTTTGGGCTTTGAGTGTCCGTCTTTATACAAATGATTTTACCTTATTCGTCCAGATTTCCTAATACGGTAAACAAATTGACAGTTACATGACTTTGTGCTTTCATTTTTTAATTTGCATCAGATTACCTTTTTTTTTTTGCTGTTATTTTAATTTGTGCTTATTTTGAACCACTTTTCAGTTTTATTGTTTGTTTTTCTGTTTATTTCATTGCTTATTTTCTCCCATCAACACCTGCATGCAGACAAAATGATGCGACCTCATCTCCTGCTCCCTCCGCACCTGCTCCACAAAACTCACCTGCTTCCTCATGAACATTGGGCACATGTGTCCAAGGTTAGTAGTTCTTCTAGATTTATCTAGAAAAGAAGCAAGGTTTCTATGTTTTAAGTAAACAAGCACTTTCTTTCTACAGTTTATTTAAGGTTCTACGTGAAATATTTTTGAACACGTCAAGAAATACAATCGCTCCACGCACACAATTCCGACATAAAAACACTTTATAAAGTGAAATAATGTATTTACAGTATTATGATAAAGTTTGCACATGTATCTAGTTGGTGTATTGTCGCTCATTTTGTTGGACTGGTCAACAACATCAAGGTTTTCGAGTTGTTCCTGTAATTTAAATTCCACTGTGTACTGCTGGTCACCTGAATATTTCCCATATTTCTCCATCACTTCAGAGAAAGACAAATACGGCTCTTTGGAAATACTTCAGTTAAATTTGTACATGAAAAACATTACCAGTTATTGGTTTGAAATTGAATACAGTGCCATAATATGAAGTGGTCAATGAGCTGCATGACATTTAAGCCGCAGGCTGGCTACTCGAGCATATTGTCAGAGTAATTATCAGCTTGTTATTCACTTATAAAATGCAAATGAGGAAAAAATTACAAATTATGCACAATTTTTAAAAAAAAATCCTGTATTTGACAACTACTGAAAAATGTTATAATTTCGTTCGATTCCTGAGGAGGAACTTAATAATTTATTGACCCATGTGGAGTCGTGATCCCGGCTTTAGAATTGCTGGTATTTCTAAAATCTATAGCTGTAAATATGTTGCATCTGGTGGCTTTTTTTGTTTTATATAAAAGCAATTTGATCATGTAATACATTGTTGTTTCAATTTAGTCCTGTAAAACCAGGGGTAGTTTTCGTTAAGGTTATCATACTGTAAGCATCTAACACCATTCATTACCTGTGTTATTCAGATTGGTGGATCATGTTTAAAGTTGACTGTATACCTTAAACTTGGCCATTTTGAATGCAGCCAGATAAGATAAACTTGCCATTTATACACTGAAGAAACAAAGAGCTTTCCCTCTGTGGTGGGGGTTCACTTGCTCCACAAACCTGCAGTCAGATATCGGTTCTCCAGTTCCTCACTCCTCTGAAAAGAATGTCGACTCACACAAGCGTCGAGTCTTTTGCTGAAATCCCTGATTTGCGTGCCAAAACGCTCCTCATCTCGTTGTTGACTCCATTCCAGGGTTTCACCTGGGCCTGTAGTAAGCCAGATTCAGTAGACAAGGTCCGGTGCATTCGAGGGCAGCTCCCTCCTGCGCTGTATCCATCCTTATCGCTACAGTGGCTCTGGGAGCCTTCGGTGGGGGAGTACTGTTGCTGATAGTGCTCCCTCTGCCTGACGTTGCCACACGTTGGGTAAGAGAGCGGATGCTGCATGTGATGAGACTGGCTGCGGTGAATCCGCGGTTTGTCCACTCCGACTCTTAGCTCACAGGGCCGCGAGATGGGCACGCTGCTGCTTCCGTGGTCGTTTTGATAGAGTGTGCCGGCTAGGTCGCTTTTGTAGTGCTTGGCGCTTCGGGAAGCTTTGACCAGGGAATGTATCACCGCCGCCAGCAGGATCAGGATCCCAGAGGAGAGTACGCAGGCGCTGGCGATGCCTGTTTCCATCTCGAATATCAGGAGCATGAAAATGGACATGGCTGCCGAGAAAGAAGAGAAGGTCGTAGAAAACTTGATTTACCCGTGCAGACAGTATTTTAATGCACTATCGGCAAACAGTATCAGTCATTAGAGACCCAGATAACTGTAAACCAAACGCATACTGAACGCTGCTCGTCTCATTGATATCCTGTTTGCCTGCAGGAAACGGACCATAGACCCAGGAATGTTGAAGGAAGGGGCAGAAAGGCACAACTCTGGGATGTAAAGAGACCTTCTGAGTTGGCCTCCACTACCATTGGACTGTGGCTGAAGTGGGGTCAAGGGGAGACAACCAACTATCACAATGAAGTGACCCCCCCCCCCCTCCACCACCCTTCTGCTAAAGTAACTCGCCACTCTGCGGAGCGGGGTGCACCAGCACTGCCAGGTTCAGCATTAGAAACACTTAAGTCATGGCTGCTCAAAGAATGCATTGTTCTCTGAAACTGGACGGCCGGATTAGAGGAAAAGCAGCAGCGCTGGTATGCCTCTGCTGCTGAAAACACAACTAACACAACGTTGTTGTGGATGCTTTTTGTAGGTTTCTAGCTGTCTATGAAGTGTCAAATGTAAGAATAAACGCTTTGGTAGTAAGAAAAAAATGTGAAAATGTACTGTTTTGTTTTCTGTCTGTCGTTCCTACCTGCCAAATAGACAGACACCCCCAGGCAGAATAGTCCAATCGCCACATGTCGTACAGCTCTGCTGTCCAGAAGGAACCAGTCTGCTCTGTTGAAAGAGATCCCATGTCAGCGCCTCTACAGTATGTTTGCACTTTCAAGTTGATGCTTCACTTTTTGAAATCGGTGTATTGGTTAATAAAAATAGAACAATGTCTTCGTGTTTATGTGTTTGTTTTCCCAGAAAAGTTTGTTTTGTCAATCGAAAATCATGGGATTACTGGGTATTTGGGTTTATTTTATATGCATATTGTCACACTGGTTATTATTTCCCCTTTTTCTGGAATGCCCCCTTGTGTCAGCAGGGAGGTCCCAGACTTTGGTGTTGAATTAGTATACCGACGTGGGAAAGGGCCAGCGCGAGGCCGTGTGCTGGGTGCATAATAAGAGGAAGGCCATTGTTTAGATGGGATTTGTAAAGGTTGTGGGGGGTGTTGACCAAAGGCATTGCAGTGCAGGCCGTTGCTCTCTGATATATAAGCTAGCCCCATTTTTTTTTATACTTCTGAAACCATGTTTTCTTTACACAAAACCTAATAGTTAAATTTAGTATCCAGGACAAGGCTGTGGTTAGTAGCATTAACAACGAAAGAAGATTGTGTGGGCACTAGGAGAAACGCATGCAAACAGCTTTTTTCTTTTTCACCGGTAGCAACAATGTTTTGAACAGAAAAGAGGAACCAATGTAGGATGTGAAGCAGCACCTCAAAAATGCTTTCTTTTCTTAAAATTAAAATATGTGATGAATTCCAAGGACTTGCCGTGATTAGGACGTTATTTTCATTTGTTTTCAAGAATTACGAAAGCCATGAGAAAATCTAAGTAATGATACCTGTAAAACACATGAAAATGTGTTTAATTAATGTACTAGACTAACTAGCAAAATAATAGTGACTTCTGGAGGAGCTGCATTTATTACAACAAGATTCACCTAGGCTAGCATGTAAGACTTAACCGAGCTTGTGTTAACTTCACTAGACCCTTCAGGGAATGTTTCCCAAAGTTTTGACCGGGTATAAAAATCAAAGAGCTTTCAGGAAATGTTGGCCATAGGTTAATGACATAAGTTTCTGATAACCTTTAGTAAATATTGCCTAAAAGCATAACTTTCTAAATAAACACACAAAAGAAAGAACTATTAACTGAATGTTCTCTTAAGTTTTTCTACAATTCACAGGTAAACTTTTGGAGGCTACGCTAGCATACCAGACCGTACCAAGCAAATTCTAACCTTACTAGAACCCAAAGGGGAAAAAAGAAGAGTCATATTGAGAGAACATACAGAAAATTCCCTCTTAATGGTATTCTAACCTTCAGGGAACCTTTAGAGAATGTTCCTGAAAGGTTAGTTTCAACATTGACGGCGAAAGTTTGTGGTAAAGGGGAATAATGTTCTTGGAGGTTCCTTAAATGTTATCTACAACTTTTATGTTGACGGAACATTCCCGAAAAGTTCCCCGAAGGTTATCTGAGCTTTTTGTTAAATAATCTTTAAAGAATCCTCAGAGAACGTTGACAATTTGTACAATTTAATCTCGGAGAACATTCTTTTTGGAACTGAATGGAAAATTAAAGAACAAGCCAGGCTAGCATTCGAGACCTTTCCAAGCAAAAACTAACCTTACTAAGCCTAAATAAATTATGTTTTCATAAGATTATAACAAGTGGCCCACTCAGAAAATTCAGGAAAAGTTACTGATTTACCATACTAATACACACTGACGCATAAAGTTTCTGGGAACTTGCTCAGAATATAATAAGCTACAACTTTCAACATGTAACATTGGAGAACCTACAAGTTAGATTCTTAGGGTTAGGGTGCTGGTTCCCCAAATTTTATCTACAGCTTTCACAACCTCAAGTGTATCTGCATGTCTCATTATGCATTTAGAGAACCTTTAGGGAATGTTACCTGAAGCATTACTACAACTTTCCTCATCTAATCTTAAGATACCATGTGGAGGACAGATTTCCAAAAGGTTCTAATATCAACCTTTCTGAGAGCTATTTAAGTTCCCAGAAGATTCAGCAACTTTAATGCACAATTGTAAGTAATTTTTTTTTACTTTTCCACCTTCAAACACTTTAAAAGGGGAGTTTATCGTTTTAAAAAAACAGCCAATAAGGTTAAAACAGTGTTGTTTTTTTTCATCAATAACGTTGGACGCTTTTGTAAGTTTTACAGTCTGATAAACTAGACAGTCTGCATGCCAAAACTGAACAATTTCACTTCTCAGCGACAGAAAAATGAAGCGTAAATCTCTCCCATTTTTGAAAGCAGTTCGAATAACCCTCAACAGGTTGAATTGATATTCTAATTAGCTATAAATTATGGTTTAAATCTGCGTCACAACTGGACGGAACTGGCTGCTCCTTGAACCAGTCGGTTCAGCTTGCAGCAGGCCAAATACCTCTCGGTGTCCTGCTCCCCTCTGCAGACCTCCGTGGAAAAGTAGCTGTGGAGGAGACTCACGACCACGGAGCTCAAGTTAAGGGTGAGGGACAGCGCTGAGAGCACCGTGGAGACGGGCAGCAGGACGGGCCAGAGGTGAGCGGGTATGACCGAGGAGGAGGCGACGGTGGTGGACTCCTTCACCGCCGCCTGGTGGGACTGCAGCTGGAATATTAAGATCACCGATAACACGGTCATGATGGCCGACAGCACTCCCAGTAAGGACAGAACAATTAAAGACCTCTGCCTGTACATGAGCGTCATGTTTATCCTGAAATTGGCTCCAGAAGGGCGGAAAGAGATGCGTCCCGTCGTCCAGTGGGACTCCCCAAGTGCCTACAGTCTTGCGCCGTGGGCAGGCATTGCAGTGTGTAGGAAATGTTTCCCGGAGGTCCTGTCCGGAGGAAAACTTTTCTTCCTCGGTATGGATTTCAGCTGAGTGGCAGGGCGCCCCGCTGCTCTGTCTGAGCATGTGATGGGCTTTAAATCCCCCAGATTAAAAAGTTCGCAGCAACAATGGACTTCTTCTCCTGGACGGTCGGAAACAATGGCTTGGCGTATTCACGGGAGAGCGCCCCGAACAAAGTCATCAAACAATGACAGGACTGATCATAATGTCCTACATACGATATGAGTCGATAGAAAGTGCTGACTTTTTTATTTATCTTGTGAGAATTACAACTTCAACTGATAGATATGAGTCCAATACATTAAAAGCGTTTAGTCATTACATAAACTTATGCTATTCGGAGTAAAGCAGGATTTGTTCTGCTTTTAAATACATTTATTATTATTTTTGTTGACTTAATCTAACTAAATTATTATTTATTGTCTGTTTTCAACCACATGTTTTCACTGAAGATGAAATATATCGCACTATAAACACTTGTTTTCACTCCTGTAAGTGCTTTATTAATAATAATTAAAAAAAACTGGTTGTAATACATTTTTGTCACTGTTTTCAGGGCCAGATTTATGAGGATGACGGTCCCAGGGGCCCTTTTGTAACAAGCTTTTTAGTTGTCCTTTCTAAAAACGCTCCTTAGGAACTTGGCAAAATTTCTATAATTGTCTTCCTCCTTATATAATTGTTCCTTGATTGTTTTTACAGGTGACGATGCACAGGCTTGGTGGTTGTGACCATTTTCAACAAGTTGGAGATTGTAGACAAGATCCAAAAAATTAAATCCCCCTCACAGTGGGCTTAAAACTTCTCTTCTTCTTCTTCTTTGGATATGTTTCTCGCCTCTCCCACCTTCCTCCTCGCTGTGCTTCATGTCATGAATGTGTGTTCTCTACAAGTTTCGTTCTTCACAGTTCCAGATGTTTTAAACTTTTCAAGTTTTACTTGGACTAAAGTGAGCAAGTTCAGTTCAGAAGCTTTTTTTTGTTTTCAGCATTTCCAGCTTTAATAAGATCAACAAAAATTAGTGTAAGTTAAGCAAAAATGTTCTCCTGCCTTTCCCAGTGTTAGAAGGGGCCAAGAGAAATGGGCACCTGTGTCACATTTCTAAACAAAGAAAACAGTAAAACGTGGGTTACAACTGAAAATAAGTGGACCCTCTGATCAACCTAAAATGTAAAGTACAAAAAAATGCTTTCATTTATTTTACAAGAATTATATTAGATGTGATTTCAGAAAAAATATATATATATATATATTTTTTTTTATGTGCCACAATTCTTCACAGCTATCAAACATACTCACATTAAAGGCTGTGTTTACTAATTGAAGTATCATTAAAAAGATGATGCTTCTGTGCTAAACAACAAAGATACAGTCATAGACGACTGTAATAAATATATTTAGGAAAAACGAACAACCTCACATCTGCAGTGCAAAATCAGGCTTTCAGATCAGCTTGTGTAACTACAGATTTGTAATATACAGAGTAGGTTTTGCACAGAAAATATCGTAAGTAATAATTTCTAAAAAAAAAAAAAAAAGTTTAACAAAAACATTTCTAAGTCAGTTTCTGTGGACTCCTGAAATCTAGCATCATTTAACTCACTCAAATTACACAACATCAATTCGTCCTACTGTGCGTACTTCTACATCTTGCAAAAATAATCTGCACATAAATGTGTGCATACGATAAAAGGCCGCAGTCTACTTTTAGATTAGCCTACTTCTTATGCTGTAACATGAACAGCCATCCTCTCTCCTCGTGAAGTGATTAAAGGATTACTGCTGGTCTTCTCAACAGGACACTACATCATCTACTGCAGGTAGAATAAAGCATTTAAACTGAGGAGAGACGAAACAAATAACGCGAATGCTTTGGGCATTCTTAGAATTCCTTGTGTTCAAAATGGGACCTTGTTAGCTGTGAGCTACACTGAAGCTTGAAGACATTGCAGGCAGCTGAGC